AATCCCAATATTAACTCACTCACACTTAAAAAGTCAAAATTCTTTACCAAACCAAGTGTATTACGTCACAGAAAATAAGTTTATTGCATTTTATTTTATTTATATTTATATTTATATTTTTTATGTCTGTTGCGTCACAGAAAATAATTTCATTGTATATTATTTTATTTTTTTCTATTTTTTTCTGTCTGTTACGTCACAGAAAATAAGTTTATTGTATTTTATTTTATTTTTGTTTTCATTCTATTAATGTCTGTTACGCCACAGAAAATAAGTTAATTGTCTTTCATTTTATTTTTATCTTTCTTCTTATTTTTTTTTATGTCTGGCTAAAAAGCTTTCTAGTCTACAGAACCTAAAAGTATTTCGTCAACTATGCCACGCACAGAAGAGAGGAGTTGAGACGTAAAAAAAAGGAAAAAAAAAGAAAAAAAAAGAAAGAAAAAAAAAAACATCCCTTGTCGCAAACTAAACTTTTATATGACGAAAAAACAACAACAACAGCGGACAGCTTGGAAAAATAAAATAAAAATAAAAGAAAAATAGGAGAAAGTAAAAAAAAAGGAAGTTGAGATGAAGAAAATTATGAAAGTCTAAATCTAAAAGTATTTTTTCTTTTATTGGAATAGAATTTTAGATATGCGTGTAGTCTCTGACTTATAGGTATACATGTGTAAGACAACACCATCACCACCAACAAAATCATCACCATCATCACCATCATCAACAATAACAAAAATACCACCAACATCCCCATCACTGTCACCACCACAATCATCATCATCACCACCACAACCACCCCTACCACCACCACCACACCCATCACCACCCCCACCACCACCATCACTGCCACCACCAACCTCACCACACCACCATCCACAATCATCACCACACCCACCACCACATCCATCACCAACCCCATCACCACCACCACCCACGCCACCACCAACCCAACCTCACCACCACCCATCACTCCACCACCACCACCCCATCCCCTCTCATGAATACCCAAGCTTTCCTCCAACACTCCAAACAGGACCTCTCCTCCCCTTCCCCCCACACCCTCCCCTCCCCTCTCCCCGCCCCCACACCCCACACCCTCCCCCGCCCCCCCCTCCCCCACACCCCCCACACCCCTCCCCCCCGCCCACGACCGTCTTGAGGGTGTAGTCCCAGAACAAACAACGTTTACCTGTGCTGTTATGGACGGTGGGTTCGATATCACACGAAAACGAAAGCTTTGGTCATATCTCTTGGAAATAACACTTCCATTTTTCAGCTTTCCATTGCCTTGGGTGAGAGAGAGAGAGAGAGAGAGAGAGAGAGAGAGAGAGAGAGAGAGAGAGAGAGAGAGAGAAGGAGAGAGAGAGAGAGAGAGGAAGGATAGAGAGAGGGAAGGAGAGAGAGAGGAAGGAGAGAGAGAGAGGAAGGAGAAGAAAGGAGAGAGAGAGGGAGGAAAGAGAAGAGAAGAGGAGGAGAGAGAGAGAGAAGGAGAAGAGAGAGGAGGAGAGAGAGAGAGAAGAGGAGAGAGGAGAAGGAGAAAGAAGGAGAAGAGAGAGGGAGGAGAGAGAAGAGAGAGAGAGAGGGAGAGAGAGAGAGAGAGAGAGAAGGAGAGAGAAGGAGAGAGAGAGAGAGAGAGAAGTGAGGAGAGTGAGAGAGGTGAGAGGAGAGAGAGAGAGAGAGAGAGAGAGAGAGAGAGAGAGAGAGAGAGAGAGAGAGAGAGAGAGAGAGAGAGAGAGAGAGAGAGAGAGAGAGAGAGAGAGAGAAAGAGACGAAGGGGCCTGTCCTCTCATTTCTCAAGTCTCTCTCTCTCTCTCTTTCTCTCCTCTTTTCTTTCTATGCTCCTCTATCCTCTCTTCTCACTCTTCTCAGCTCTAAGTGAGTGTGATTTAGTGTTTTTTTCTATCCATCTATCTATCTATCTATCTCTATATCTGTCTATCTATCTATCTGTCTATGTATCTATGTATCTGTCTGTCTATCAAACTATCTATCTGTATCAATCTATCTGTCTATCTATCTATCTATCTGTCTATCTTTCTATCTATCTGTCTATTCATCTGTCTATCTATCTATCTATCTCTCTCTCTATATATATATATATCTATATATGTATATCTATATTCATTTATTTATCCTTTTTTCTATTTATTAATTTATTCGCTTATATATTCGTCTGTTTATCTACTTTTTTATTCATTTATAAAAAAACATGAATGAAGGAGGGAATAAGTCGAAAGAGCAATGAAAATGGGATGTGAAGGAGTAAGGAAGGAGAATAATCGAAAAGAGAGAAAGAACACAAATTAAGGAAGAATGAAAATAAGCAATAAAAAAGGGAAGGAAGAGAAAAAATAACCAATAAAGATGGAAGGAAGAGAGAAAATAAGCAATAAAGAAGGGGAGTAAAGGAAGGAGGAGAGAAAATAAACAATAAAAAAGACACAAAGGAAGGAAAAGAGAAAATAGATAAAGAACAGACTCAAGCGAAGGAAAAGAGATAATAAGCAATAAAGAAAAAACGAAGGAAGGAAGAGAGAAAATAAGCAAGAAATAAAAGACACGAAGGAAAGAATAGAGAAAATAAGCAATAGATAAAAGACACGAAGGAAGGAAGAGAGAAAATAAGCAATAAAGAAGGAAAACGGAGGAAGAAATGAAATAAGCAATTAAGAAAGGACACAAAAAAGGATGAGAGAAAATAAGCAACAAAGAAAAAGACACGAAGGAAAAAAATCGAGAAAATAAGCAACAAAGAAAAGGACACGAAAGAAGGAAGAGAGAAAATAAGCAACAAAGAAAAGGAAGAAAAAAGAGAAAATAAGCAAAAAGAAAAGGACACAAAAAAAAAAAAATCGAGAAAATAAGCAACAAAGAAAAGACACGAAGGAAGGAAGAGAAAAAGAGCACTAAAGAAGGGAAATGAAGGAGAAGGAGAAGGAGAAGCAAGCCCCACGAAGCAAGTGTCACAGCCCAAGACATTACCATTCCAACTGTGTCTTTTGCCTGAAATTAGATCGTGTCTGAGAAGCTCGGATTGAAGTTTGTTAGTGCCAGCTTGTTGAAGTTTTTATTTTCCATCTTTTTTTTTTTTAATTCTTTATTATTATTTTTTTCTTCCTTAATTAGGCGAGTGGTGTATGTGTCCTCTCTTCCTCCCACTTCTCTTCTTCCTCCTTCTTCTGCTACCTCCTTCTTCTCCTACCCCTACCTCCTGCCCCTTCTTCCCCTACCCCCTCCCTCCTCCTCTTCTCTCCTCCCTCCTCCTCCTTCTCCCCCTACCCACTCCTCCCTCTTCTCTCCTCCCCCCTCCCTCCTTCTCCCCCTACCCCCCCCTCCTTCTCCCCCTACCCCCTCCCTCCTTCTCCCCCTCCCCTCCCCTTCTCTCCTCCCCCCTCCTCCTTCTTCCCCTACCCCCTTCCTCCTCCCTCTTCTCTCCTCCCCCCTTCTCCCCCTACCCCTCCCTTCTCTCTCTCTCCTCCCCCCTCCCTCCTCTCTCCCTCCCCCCTCCCTCCTCCCTCCTTCTCTCCTCCCCCCCCTTACCCCTTGGTCTATCCTCAGCTCGTGTTTTTTTCTTATTTTTGTATTATTTTTGTATTATCTTTTTTAATTATTTTTTTAAAGTGGTAAATGTTTGAGGTGTTTTAAGAGGTCGAGTACGTGGTGTATTGGTGTGGAGAATGGGTAATGAGGGTTGGGGCTTCCGTTAATAAGGGGTGGGGGATTCGTCGTGATTCTTTGTGACTTGTGGGGTGGGGGTTTTGACTTAGTGACTTGTGACTTGTGGGGTAGGGGTTGTGACTTAGTGACTTGTGACTTGTGAGGTAGGGTTACTAGATTGTGACTTGTGATTTGTGAGGGGGTTGATTTGTGGTTCGTGACTTGTGGGGAGGGGGTTGTGACTTAGTGACTTGTGACTTGTGACGTGCGGGGAGGGGTTGGTTTTGTGACTGTTTGTGGACTTGTGGGGAGGGGGTTGTGACTTAGTGACTTGTGACGTGATTTGTGGTTCGTGACTTGTGATTCATGGGTTGGTTATTCGTGTCTTCGTGATTAACAAGTGGTGATTTGTGACTTGTAAGTTGGGATTCATGACTCAAGATTCGTGACTTAGGACTCGAGATTCGTGTATTTTTTGAATGAGTATTTGTGATTTCTGATTCGTGACTTATGACTCAAGATTTGTAAACTGTGACTTACAACTTGGGATTCTTGATTTGTGAAAGAGATACGTGACTCATGACTTCCAAAGACCGATGACCTATGACCTATGACCTATGACCTGTGACCCGTGACTCTTTTCTTAGACACAAAGGGAACATTTTTCAGGGTCACTGTAAGGCATAATGGTCTTTATATGTACTAAAATCTTTATCTTTTTTGTTTTAATTGTGAATAAGAAGTAGGATGTTTTATGGCATTTTACTTTCGAAAAATTATTATTTAAGTACAACACTAAAAAGCATTTAAAGAAGAAGAAGAAGAAGAAGAAGAAGAAGAAGAAGAAGAAGAAGAAGAAACACGCACACTAAAATCTCTATTATTTTCGTTTTACTTATTAATAAAATTAATAAAACAATAGAATGTTTTGTGGCATTTTACTTTCCAGTACTTTTAGTTTATACATTTACGCAAACTTTTACTTAAGTACAACACTAAATAACATTTAAAGAAGAAGAAGAAGAAGGAGAAGAGGAAGAAGCAGAAGAAGCAGAAGAAGAAGATGAAGAAGAAGAAGAAGAAAAATAATAATGATAATAATGATAATAATAAGAAGAAAAATAAGAAGAAACATAAGAAGAAACACAAACTCACATTAAAGTACAACACTAATCAACATTTAAAAAAGAATAATAATAAAAGAAAACAACAGCAATTAACATCCTCAATTTCTCTTCCAGATGACACCGAGCGAGCGATGAGAGGCGCCCGAGGATAAGCCAATCTCCGTGCAAGAGGAGATTGCAACATGCCCTTGCAGCCGCACAGGACATATGTAA